GATATGAATTCACTCCATCAGTTCCCACAGTTCCCATGGAAGAAGCAGCTGTTTAGTTTCAATGTCGAAAGCTCAAAATGTTTCCTGTGAAAGCATCTCATCAGTCTGATTTCTGTCCAGTTAAACAAAATAGATTAAGCAGTGTTGCGTATCATCTTTTTCTTGAGACTTCTCTTCATGTTAGATGTAGAGGTTCATGCAGGTGCTGAAGACAGAGGTTACAGCACACAGGTTCTCAGGTGACCTTATTGCACCCCAGTGTTCATGGCAACCAGTCTTTCATACAGGTCAAAGACTGGATGAATCTGAAGGCTGAACTATCTATCTATTGCCCTACCAAGTGTGAATGAGGATGTTCATACTCCTCAGAGCTATATTGTTCCTGCTATTGTATGTTTGAATTTTACCTCAAGTTGAAGGTTTAGGTAGAGGTTTTGTATGAATCAGCACCTTAACCTTTGAGGAAAGTGCTTTTGTAATCTCAGGTCATGTACATCTGGATGAGTTTCACCTAGGCAGTCCAGAATATTGCAGTCCTTATAACTTTAATTCTAGTTTATTTCACACCTACTGAAAGCACACAGAGGCACACATACATGTAAATGCAAATCCTATCTAAAGCTCCTTATAAAGCACTGGCTCTATCCTGCTTCTCACTTTCTATACTTGTGCAAGCTTTCAGGTTCTCAGAAATCAATCCAGGCTTATTAGATAAAAAAATCTAAGAATAACTGTTAACTGAAAAAGTAAAAAGAGATAAAAAATCCTGGCTGCTGCAGACCTGATGGCAAAAAAGAGGTCCAACCTCCAGGAAGAGACAGGTGGCTTCTGAGTGAAAATGGTAACATACTCTCCCCAGGGAGACAGGCTCCAAAGTTGAGTTCACTATTTCCTGCTATAAAGCATATTGATGTTAACAGTTTTCTTCTGCCCACATGTGTGTTTTTCAAATTAAGTATAGTTAAACCTGTAGAGTTTAAAATACCACTTCAGACACTCTCCTTTGCTTCTACTTCAATTTCTTATAATCTGCCATAGGTGTACAGTGCCGATAATCAGCTCTGCTTCTCACAAAGAGATGCAAACTGATATAAAGACCTGGCAGAGGTGACAGAGAACTGGATCTAATGACCAGTTTGGAAAGTGGAAGGGGTAATTTTCAGGACATAGAGTAGCATGTATTTTGGCATTCACTCTCCCCGAAAACGGTGAAAGCCTTATGTTTGTAATACTGGGTTTTGGAGATGGCATATTTGCATTTGTATTCTCAGGAAGTGATACTTGATGCAATCTTGGACATACCAATCTCTAGTATCAATTTTGCAAATGATCTTAAAGGACTCAGGACTTCATCTGTAGCATTAAGATTTTGTCTGGAACAACCTGTCTTACTGGAGAAACAAAGTGCTGGGCATAGTAGGCACTATCCACATTGGCTAACACATCCCTTCAGGTTTCAGCTGTTCTGCTGCAGATAGAAGTCTCTTATTTCTCTGAATTCTTGCATTCATTTGGGGTGCATGACAGAGTGTGGAGATGAACAGAGCCTGAGGCTTTGCACTTTTTGGACGATGTTACCTTTAATAGGGCATATTTTCCTTCTTACTATAGGCTTTATTCCTGAGTATGTATGCAACCCAAAAAGAAATACCTCCACCCACAAACTAGTGTTCCATATTTAGAATGACCTTTCAGCAAGATAAATAAATGAACTCCATTTAAAATGCATATATGCAGTATAACAAAGCCCTGGACCTGAACAGCAGGATATGGATATGTTCAGCTCCAGAACACTTCCAGGCATTTCATGCCTTAAAGTAATTTTTCAGTAAATCTACACTTCTTTTGCAGGTTTATTTTTTTGTTTGTTTGTTTGGGTTTTTTTGTTGTTTTTTTTTTGTTTGGTTGGTTTTTTTTTGTTTTGTTTTGTTTTTGTTTTTGTTTTTGTTTTTGTTTTTGTTTTTGTTTTTGTTTTTTGTTAGGAATAATTCAAATGAGCCTTTAGGTAAATGCAACACTGCTCTGTAGAAATTGGCAGATATTGGGCATGACTCCTCATTAAAGCTGAATGCAAAGAATTTGAGTAGAAATTTCCTTTGGACTTGATTCATGTGAGTTTCCATTCCTTGAATTTCACTTTGATTTCTAGGTTCAAATATGTGCAGAACACTGAAAGCCACACTGTTGGATGTATGATATTCATGTGGTTTCATGAAAAAAAATATGGGATTTACATGAGTTTGTGGTGAAAACAAAATTGAAGCTGCATTTTAGAATCTGGTCTGAATTTTAAATGTACAACAAAATATCAGGTCTGGTGAATTTCATACAACTTACAATGCTATTACACTGCATCTTGCTGCTCTGCTACTGATTAACACTTACCTCGAATAAACAAAGCTCTTTATAACTGAATCACCTTTTCAGCATGTCTGAACATTAGGTGCTTGTTGAGACTTCTGTACTGATGAGAAGAAATTCCCAGACTTCCTTTTAAAAACTCCACTTTTTACAAAGATGAACAAGCAGTGTCCGAAATCAGGAATACTGAAATGGGCTTATGTTAGTGCAGTATCTCCAGTTTAGAGTCAGGCTAAGGGAAAGAAACATTAAAAAAACCAACAAAAAACCAAACAAACAAACAAAAAACAAACAAACAAAAACAAAAAGACAAGCATATGGTTACAAAAACATCCTTCTCAGTTGCCTTGTCGATTGTAAGCTATTTAATCATAATTGCAGCAGTTTGGTTCTTCACAATAAATCAGTCATCATTTCACCTACTCAATATTACAAACCTTGCTGTTTGCCATAAAAATTTGACTTTGAGAATTTCAGGTGCAGGAATTCCAGGAGCTATCTATAAGTACTTCTCCTGTGATGTTAGTATTCTTGGGGCAAAGGGAGAGTACTAGAGAAAACAGACAGCAGTGGCCAGGAGATGTATGTAAAAAATCCTTTTGTTCAACTCTCAGATGTGTGTTGACACTGATGGTGAAGCAAAGTATTTGGGGGCTTTGTGTGATGGTGATATTATTTATAAAAGGTACACTAGACTTTTAGTAGATTTGTATGTTTAGTTTCCAGAGTTTTCAAGGGCAATATGAGAAGTTCTAAATTCTGCCATGGTGTCAGCCTACCGTGGTTTCCTCACTTATGAGCCGGAGGGTGGTGCAAAGTGGTCCATTCCTTCTGTCTCCTCCAGGGGCTAGACTCTGAAGCTGCTGTGTGTGGGGATTTAGACACATAAAAGACTCACTGGTGGTTGAGGAATCTTAGTACCCAATTTAGGCTTTTTCTCACCGCTGATGTGTTCAGTCTGTCTAGCTGGTTTTCTATCATAGCCCCTTCCCACTGAGCCTTTTCAGTCTTCCTGGCCCTGTTTCCTTGCTCGCCAAGTCCAAAGGTCCCCAACCAAGCTGCTGCTGGCCAGTGCAAGCTGAAATCTGTTTCTCCCAATGTTCCTTATTAATTTCTTGTTCCAAATGTCTTTCTGCAGCCTAACTTCCCAAGCCCAGCTCTGTCTATTTTATCTGTTTTCTATTTTGGCCTTCGGATGTCTTTAGCATTTACGTTTCTGTTCCTGTTATGCCAAGCCAGACCCTCTTCTTTCCTCCTATCTGACTTCTCAACATCTGTAATTCTTTTTAGCCCCCCCCAGTTTCTTCCCTCTTTCAAACCCTGTATCACTCTCCATCTGCTCTTCCGGCTTTTCCTCCAGGCTGTTTTTAATTTCTACTGATGTGCAGTTCTCTTAAATGGTCTGTGGTCTGCACTTGCCCCTTTTTCCTTTTTGTCCCCAGTTCTGGTGCCCTTGGCAGTGTTTCCCTTTCCTCTGCTAGCTTCTGACTTCAGTTACTTTTCAGGCCCATTGCTAGCATACTGTTCTCCACCTCTAACACACATGTACCTTAGTTTTCTCCTTCACTGTCTGAGCTTACTGAGGTACTACTGTAGAGAGCTTAGGGAAGACAGGGCTTTCTACATGCCCATCTGGACATAGCATGCCCTGCAGCACCATAATGTTCTGAGCGCAAGAGACATCCAGCTCAGCTCCATGTGGGAGAATGCCTACTGCATTGGGAAAGAGTTCTTGGATCTAGTTTGCAATTTTTGCTTCAGAAAATAAAACAAATGGGAAAAAAACAAAACCAAAACCACCAACCAACTAACCAACCAAACAAAAACAACAACCAAACAACAACAACAACAAAAAAACAATAAAACAAACAAACAAACAAAAAATGAAAAACAAACAACCCAAGCCCCAAACCAGCTGTAGACTTGAGGCAATGCAGGGGCATAGGCGTGCAAACTGGATGAATCCTGAACATAGTGTGAGCAGTGATTGAAACTCCTGTCAAATTAACACTTAAAAGTCAGAGTTCCTGGCTTCCCTGAGGTGTGTGGATCTTTGCCTTCCTGTGCAAAATTCTTCCTCCCATAAGCTTGCTTTCCTTCTAATGCAGAATAAGGTAGTTTTTGAATTTCCCCCTAGAAGAAAAAAAGTAGTGACAGAAAGACAGTCACTTAGACCTGTTAGAAACATTCCTGCTTTACAATTTGGGATCAGGGTCAGTTTCCTTTACTGCTGAATGAATGGTGTAAAAGGGTTCCAGAGAGCATTTTTTTTTTGTAGAGAATACAAGGCTTTACTAAAACGTATGTTCTCCCTGGAGGATTTCAGCATTTTCCAGGCTTTACTAAAATGTACGATCTCCCTGGAGGATTTCAGCATTTTCCAATTGGTGCCTTTTATGGCATATGTTATGTATTGATACAGATTAAGTTTTCCCTCCTGTCTGGAACAATGGACGCTCAGGAGGAGAGCTACTGACCTAGCAATAAGCGTGAACAGCTCATGGCAAGTGGTGGAGCAGGGCTCCTGGAGGACGGCTAGCCAAAGACAGAGCACTCCCTTCAGCTGTGCCATCCTGCCTCTCTCCTCCTCCTTCTCCTCTCTCCCTTTTTTCTTCCCCTCTGTCTTTCACTGTTACACGTTCCCTAGACCACTTGGCTTTGTTGTGCTGCCTGTCTGACTAGGAGGAGGGGGATTGGCGGCTTGCCGGCTCCGGGAGCGCTTCCCCGCCGCTCACCCCAACCCACCCACCCGCGCCTGGGTCAGGAAGTGTGAGCAGGGCTGATGGAGGCGGAGAGGTAGGGCGGAAGGTTCATACCAGCGCTGGGTGTGACAGCGGGCAGCGGAGGGCTTCGCAGCTTGCGGGGTGTCCAGCCCCGGTTCTGGCACGGACCCCAGCATGGAGGGCTGCCGCTGGACGGCCGCGGGCGCCCAGCTGCTGGCTTCCCTCCTCCTAGCGAATGCCGTTTCTTCCCTGCAAGTACGTATCTCTTGTGTCTGTCTGGTGTGTATGTGTGCGGGTGGGGATGGTTTTAGCCTTTAGGATCGCAGTTACGGAGAAGAGATCGTTCTGAACAGATCATGTAAATCTCACCTTCTCTGAAGTGTTGCAGACTTGGAGCCTTGATGTGGGTTTCTGCTTGTAGAACCAAGAAGTTAATGTTGGCATCACTTTTATAACCTTGGAGAGCAATGACCTGTGGATAGTGATTTAACTGCTTGGGATTTAGAGAATAGCTGTTTCTTCCCTCTTTAAATCAAACTGTATTACACTGTAATGTTCCTGGAATATTCTTCCTTCCTAATAAAGAAGAAAATAAAAAACATTTTTCAGTTGTGCACATGCAGTGAAACCAGATACATACAGCATGTACTGAACTTTTTCCTGCAGCCAGCTTAAATGAGTTCTCATTACTGCTGTAACTCATTACAGAGACAAGATTATACCAACTTTTGGAAGATATGTTATGTGATATCTGGTATGCTTCAGGGCTGTAAAGCTGATAGTTACTCTATGATTTTCTTGCATAATTCCCCTGGTTATCTTGATAGGATGCTCTACACCTGAGCTCTATAGATCTGCTGTTTGACTGAGGTTAAATGTTCCATTTTGACTCATACTTAATTTTATAAGTATGAGCTGTATATTTGCTATCAGAAAATCTGCAGTAAGAATATGAATATGCACACAATTTTGATAGCATAGTCATCTTGGCATACATATATGTTGTCTTTTTCTGAAGATTTGACTGAATGTAGTCACTCAAATAGCAAAGAATCATAAATAAATATATGAACTTCATGGCAGCTTGCATCATCTCATTTATCTGTATAAAAGAATCTATGGTAATCATTGTAAACTAATCTTAATACATTTTTTAGTAGCCACATGGGGACCTAAACAGTGGGATAACCCTATTCAAAATGCTTATTAAAAATTATGGTATTATTTTTTAAAAAAACTTTTTGTGTATTGAATCAATAAATACTAATTAATCACTAGAAATAAGAATGCTGTCTGGAATGATCTAAAAGCCTTACTGTGTTTAAAGGTTTATTTTCTATTTAAAATACTGAATTCACACTAAACAGCCTAAAGTCAGCACAGATTCTCTTTCATTTATGAAAATTAAAAGTTTATAACCCGATGACTGTAATATACTATAAGCCAATCCTGCAGTACTAATTTAGTGAAGATCAACAGGAGATATGACTCAACAGGACTGTGTAAGGACTCTAGGATCTAGCCCCATGTTAAGCTCATACTCATAACATTTGTATTTCACTCTGCTGCTTGTGAATTAAGTTCTTAGTCCCTAATTCATGAAAATAAATAGTGCATTCTGCTGCCAACTATTATGCATTATATTCCATACTATACTAGTTTGTATTTGTATGACTTACCCTGCCTCAAGAGTTTTCCCCCTCACCTCCCACCAATTTCTTTGTGCCTTAAGAATAGTGATGTGAAGCAAGCTTAACTTTCTTTTTTTGAATCAGGCCATTCTTTTGCTCCTTCCATACTCAGGAAAATCTCTCACTTGCTTTCAGCAGGAGATTAGGTAAACATGCAAGAATTTGATTTATAACTTGGATAGAGATTGAGATAAATTGTAGGATACCTTGGTGTAGGTGCTACTACTGTTAGTTTATTGCAGCAGGAGTTCACACAGGGTGTGGTAGAAAGCTTGTGGATGTTTTTGAGAAAAAGAAAGAGACATTAGATCAGGACTGTGACCTGGCTGTTAGCCTCATAGGTATTATCCTTTAGTCAAGTAGGTGGAATGAGTTTGAAAACTATGACAATCAGCATTTGGATTTATGTGTTTCACTTTGTATCTCTCTAAAACCCTGCTCATATTGAGCAACCGGAGCAGCCTCTAGTCATGTAGCACTCTAGTAACTTCAGCAGAAGCTCACAGTTGTAAACACTAAGGCTAGGTAACAAATACTTACGGGATTACTCTTACAATAATTTATCACGTTCCCATATTTTCAGTAAGACACTGTACAGCAGAGTAGCATCCAAAGTCTTCGTTCGGCATCCTTGCCTCAGTGAGGAGGTTGCATAGCCCAGACATAAGCACAGCCCACGCACATGTGATGCTGAGAGGATGGACAAGCCCTGGGGCAGTATCAGCAATAACATCTCTTGTTCCTGTGTTAACCAGAAGATACAGTCTGTCCCAGGGCAGACCGTCTGCAGTGGTGTAGTAGTGACTGCAGCTCCATCAGGCTTCTTAACCTTCTTCAGAAGAAACTGTATTCATTTGCAGTTGAGTGGTGCTTCAGGAAGGTCTGTGGGGGTCAGTAGTTTATTTGCTAACTGTCCTAAAATTTGCTTCTTACTCAGACATCCAGTTTCCTTGGCATAAATGGGAGTTAGGTACTTCCATAGATACTTTTGAGAATCTGAGCCATAACACTAGACACCTGTCTTGAAAAAGTAGTATCAGACTGAAAGTAACTTGAAAAGACAGTTTCTCTCTTTCCAGACTAAGAGCAAGTATTTGGAGAATTTTACTCATTGCTCTGTGAACTTTTTCATGCTAAGGAAGTATTAGCACGCCACTTTCAAGAGCAACAAAAGAAAGCAAGCATTCTGTTCTGAAGATTTCCCTTTGTATTGGTTTAAAAATAAAAGCCTAACACAAGCAAATCAAAGTTGCCTAACTCAAAGGAAATGTGGCCAAAACCATAACCAGCCATGTGTTCATCCAAACTTGAAGTCAAATCACTTCATGTCAGAAGGGCATTTAATCATATTTGCATTTGTTGTTTGGATCTTTTCAGCAGCTCTTTTTAGCTCTCTTTGTTGCTGTCCTGGTACTTACAGAAGTAACACTAGGAATTGGAATAAAGTACATGTGTTTTTTTGCAGGATTTCTTTCTTTTGCTGTGCTAATTTGTACATGGAAAATAGTCAAATACAATAGTCCATTCCTTCCAGGCTCTTTGGCATTATATTCCCTTATTATCTAACTGGGTCTGTCTTGGATGACCACAAGCACAATTAGCCCATGGAATGAATATAATGTTTCTTGTTTACATCTGAATGTACAAAGCTTGACAGTTTTTCCCTTCATGTATAGATAGGTCTAGCTACTGTTATATGTCTGCCATTCTGTTTCTACATTTGTAGTTGTGTAGAGAGTGATTTTTCCTGTACAGGCTCCAAAGTGTGCATGTATATTTTCATGCATGTCGTGTGTGCACAAACTGGCATTTGATCACATCAGTTGCGTAAATATTGCTGGAATACAGAGCTCAGCTATACAAATCTAAGGTTTATCCATGTGAAGGACTGCAACATTTCTCACAATTTGTGGTTTGTGGCCAGTGCTGCTGTACTCTGAATGTCTCATGTCTATAAAACAAAACATTTTGGTTTGTGACAGTCTAGATGCTACTAAGTACATGTACTCATCACTTTCTTCCTACACTACTCTAGAATTCTGTGTTTGGACTAATTTTATTGACTTCTTCCCCCATATTTTTTTTTGAAGTGTATCACTTATTTACTCTTTTTCTACCAAGTGCAAAAACTTGCATGATCTGAACTAAGGTTGTGTAATGGAATTTTTTTCTCTTGGACTTTAGTGAATGGGAGACAGTACTTAACATAGGCTGTTGAGCTTTTGGTCTGCTTCACCAGTGTCAGTACAGTTAAACACGTTTTGTTCTAATTACTTTTGCTAGATTCATAGATCTGGCAAAGAATAATAAGTGAAACTATGGAATTCAACACTGTGGACAGTCTGAAGATTGGAATATGGTCACCTGTAGTCATGGATCTATCATGTCTGGACAAACTCATATGCCCAGAAGATTCATGAGTTGTTGTAAAGCCCGAGTCCACATGCCCAGACAAATAATTTTTTAGGAAAGGACTATCAGTCTCTGGATCAGTGAATTTTCATGGAAGCAAACAAAAACTGAATCCTCTATAAATGTATTGGTAACCATCCAAATATAACCTCATGGTTTCCGTTACAGTGTTGTCTTGTCAAATATACAGACAGCACTGTTGTTTCTATTGCTTTTTGTAGCTATTTTCTTAAGCTTGTAAGAAAAGTCAGAGATATATGGGCAACAAATACATGGAAAAAGAAATGGGAAATTTGAGTCTGTTGCTGCAGAGGCGTATGTTCTCTGATATGAGAAGGGAAAGCAGAATAATAAGATCATCCTTACAGAAACAATCATTGTCCTGGGTTGAGTGAGTGGTGGAGTTTTTTGGTGGCAGGGGAGGGGGCTATCGGGGCGGCCCCCTGTGAGAAGCTTCTCGAAGCTCCCCCAGCTCCATGTCAGCTCCACTTCTGTTTGGGAAATTGAGCCAATCAGCTGCGCCTCTGCGATAACGTATTTAAGAAGGGACGTGGTGACAGGCAGTGGGACTTGTGAGGAGGAGTTGCTGCAGCTGCATGAACACCAAGGTCAGTGAAGGAACGGAGGAAGAAAGGAGGGGGGAGGTGTGCCAGAGCAGAGACCCCCCTGTATCCTGTGGTGAGACGGCAGGGTGGCCCCCCCCTGCCACCCATGAAGATCTGCGGTAGAGCAGACATTGATTTACAGCCTGTTGTTCCTGCTCGGCTGATCAAGGTTCTGTGCCCAAAGAAGGCCGGGGTCTCATGGGAAAAGGTAGCCCCGCTGCTGTAATTCAGTGCTGGGAGGATTGCAGCATGCGGGGGAGTCCCACGCCGGAGCAGCTCGGGAAGGGCTGCAGCCGTGGGAGAGAATCCAGTCGGAGGAAGTTAGTGACCCATGACGGAGCAGTGTGGGGAACGCTGCGGCCCATGGGAGGAATTCAAGTCAGAGAAAGTTTGTGGAGGACTGTCTCCTGTGAGAGGGGGATCACAATGGATCAGGGGGTAACAAGTTTTGGACACTCCCCTCACCAAAGATGAAGGAAGTGGCAGCACTGACTGCACCCCCCATTCCCTGCCCCTGCGCCACTGGGGGAGGAGGTAGAGATATCGG